TATTATAACAAACATGATTTAACTCGAAGGAAAAGGCAATGGTGGAAGTCGTGGTTTTGTTTATTTTTACAAGTATGGACTGTTAGTTGTTTGCTCATGCGCGCTTATGTATATTACTGAGATTGCTTACCAGCAAGTCATGGACACAGTGTGCATCAATACAACAATTTCTCATTAGTTTAGAAAATTAAATATATAAGAAAATAATTAAAATTCTTGCAGACCATTCCATAGGCAAAAGGCAATTGAAATAATTTATATATTTAAGAGACCAACGAAAATATAGATACACCGAGATGTATCTACGATAAGTTATAACTTACAAAAACGATCTATAATGTTTTACGATAAGTTGCAACTTACAATATATAATACATAATGGTTTTACGACAAGTTACAGCTTACAAAATATAATACATAATGGTTTTGCGACATGTAGAGTCTTATAAAATATTACATAATGAACCGATCAACAAAATTCAAAAACACCGTTTTAATTCCGGCAGCTAAAGGTTTCAAGAGAGAATCATGCGTACATATTCAGCTTTAGCCTCATCAGGAAGACTGAAAAATAGATCGATGCGTTCTTTGTTCTGCACAAGCAAGTTCGACACCAAAAACTTCTCTTGTAGGTTTGGTCCGTCAATACCACCAAGAACACCAAATAGCTCTTTACGAGCCTTTGACATATCATGTTCGTATCTAATGCGAGTCACAATCTCCTCAAGTCTTGTTGCAGCCTTGTCCCAATAAGTACACATCATTTCCGAAACATCTCCATCATCAAACATTTTTATTTTTGTTTTTGGAGGGCTATGTTGCATTGGCAGTGCTGCATTCTGCTTGAGAAACAGACATTATCTCATTTTCATCTTCAAAAGAACAAAAGTTGGAATTAATGTGTACATTTGCTTCAGATTCTTTTTGGGTCTGAGAAGCTAGTAATTCGTTAACAACTTCTACAAAGGTGTGAGCATTCTCCCATGTTGCCTTGTCTTTCCCAAATATTTCAACCCAATCACTATAAAATGGCCAAGACTTATATCTCATTAGGCGAGCATTACTATCAACCTGTTTCATAATGAAATATAATGATTAAAAACATTACAATAAAGCTAAAAATAAATTAACGGTCATAGATAAATTTACCTTGTCATAAATCTCCCAAGCATCAACCTCAGCCTCAATCATTTTGGTACTGGTGTTCCACCATATGCCACTTTGGGATAACATTGAATATAGAGAACAATAGTTCTTTTTCCAAACATGAATCTTGGAATTGATGTGTGGTGTATCTTTTAAATCGGTACTAGGAAACTCCTTTTTCATACTTTGTTCAAGCACTTGCAAATATCCAATCTTGAATACGTTTTTTGCTTTCCATCATTTCGCTATAATGTCCTTCACGGTTGCAATATGAATTTCCTCTTCCCTCATTGTCCAGCTCATGCGAGACTTGTCTCTTCTCTTAGCCTTTCCTTTATTAAATTGACTTCCTGATCAGTCTATTATTTACCACAAATAGCCTGAAAAGATTTCACTACAAGAAAAAGCCTCTTTCACAACGTTGCATGTGTGATGTTAAAAGGAAACAACAAGACACATGCGCATGTTGTTGACCAACATGTTGTTAAATCTCAGTATATTTAACAATGTGTATAGATTGTTGTCAAACACAGAATTGTGCATTGTGTAATATTGACAACAACATCACATGCCTCTAGTTATAGGTAATAGACAACGTTCAGTGACACCTTGTCGTAAGTGAATGACAAGGTGTTTTAGAATGTTGTTATACACAAGACACAAAATAAATCTGCATGTTGTATTATTATTATTATTATTATTATTATTATTATTATTATTATTATTATTATTATTATTATTATTATTATTATTATTATTATTATTATTATTATTATTATTATTATTATTATTATTATTATTATTATTATTATTATTATTATTATTATTATTATTATTATTATTATTATTATTATTATTATTATTATTATTATTATTATTATTATTATTATTATTATTATTATTATTATTATTATTATCATTATCATTATTATTATCATCATCATTATCATTACCATTACCATTATCATTATCATCATCATTATTC